CCTCTAGCAATCAAGAAGGTGTTGCTAAAGCTTATGGGATATAAGGAGATCATTTAGCACCAACAATAAATGCAAGAAAAGCTACTTGAGGAGTTTAGAGCATACCACTTATAATAGGCCAAGAGACCAAGATATCAGTAATAACTAGAGTAGAAAGCAATAAAAAACACTCCTTTATTGAGCCACAAGAAGACACCTAGTTTACATTGCTAAAAATGGCTATAAGATGCCTGCTATGACTAGAAGGTGCAAGAAAGTTTTCTACCCCAAACATTAGTGATAAATAGGATCTAGCACCAATTTCAAAACTTCACCATCTCTTGTGGTGTGCAAGTTACTCATGTGGATCGCATGTTTCAGTACTTGTGATCCACCCACATCCTTGGCCACAATTTCAAATTTGCTAGTACATCAGTCAAGATAACACTTAGTGAACTTGCATGATGCATTCCTAGTTTTGGCTCCCAGCTGGAGGCATTTGCAAGGTCCACAGGCTTCCCTATGGCATCTCAGCATGATGTGCAAATAGTCAACACTTAGACTACTCACAATCCAGGGGCATTCTTTGTAGAGGTCCAGATAAAAAACTCTTCCAAGTGATACTTGATTCAGGATTTTAGAGCAATATCATCTCTCTTGACTTGGCACACTCTAATGGCTTGGAAATGGATAGTAACACAACCATCATCCTCAAAACATTTGCCCATCACTTAATGGTTCCTGTGAGCATTTAGTACAATGTCAAGATCTTGGTGTAAGAAGTGGTTTCAATGCTCGATTTTCTTATGGTGGATTTCTAGTAGCTAGGATATAGAATCTTGAAGGACTCCATTCTAGGATGGGCCATGGCACATTACAGCTACTTGCATGACAACATGGTCTAAAAACAAGTCAACAATCACTAACAACATTCAAAAAGCAACTTTGCTTGATGGTCATGGCAAGTCCTTGCTTCTATCTTCATCTAAAGTGGCTGTCACCTGCAACTCTGAGCTCAATCAAGCTTTGAAGGTTCTTTTCCTAAAGCTTAATGAAGATGAGTTGCTATCAGAAATCAGGGTGGTCGAGTGCAATATGGTGGATTCTTTCATGCAGACTGGACCACCACTACACTAGACTTCTCCACCACAGGTTCAGAACCTTATAAGCTTTGGGAAATCAGTGCATCTGGCTCGCCACCTTTGCTGGAGCAGTGCAATGATGAAGCCAAAACAGTGGCAACTTCTTCTACTGTTTTGTCAATCACTCCATCATTTGAGGAGACTCCCACTGCACTTTCTACAACCCTGATCCAGTCTCTAGATGCACTGCACGTGAATCAGGACGTGGATGATCAGAAAACATGAGTCCACTAGCTACAAAGACAACAAAATGGGCTCAAATCTTTGTCAATTCCAAGAATGAGGTGTACACTGAGGATCTACCATCAATTGGACATCCTGCATGCAATGAGGGAAGAAGCAAAGAGAGACACCACCTCATTCACATCCCCTACTTTTACTGAATGTGAACCAAGGTCCTGACCCCTTTATTTGAGGGCCAGGATATGCCTGAGTTCACAGCTTACTTTGATGGTGCATTCTGCCCCAAGAACCAAGTTGTGGGGGTTGGTGTTTGGATACATGATGCAGAAGACAAAAATGTTACTCACATTGCCACCATATTACCAGCAACATTGCTAATAATGCAAGAGTACTTGGCTGCAATCACAGCAATGGAGCTCCCTCACCAAATCTAACAAGTTTCCTTTGTGGGGATTCTCAATTAGTGGTCTGGCAACTTAATGGCATCTACCAGGTTCATAGGGACAACCTCCATGACTTATGGCAGCATGTGATAGATCTCTAGCGTGTAACTTCATCAAGAAATAGTGAAGCAAAAGATGTGATGATTCAACAATGCTCTTTTGCCAAACATCAAGATCGAATTGAGCCTCCACACATAAGATACTTCACCTCTCACTCGTTCAAATAGTCTAGTTTCTCAAGGTGGAAAAAGAGGCAATGGCAGTAGTTTATACTCTCGAGTGTTTCAGACACATTCTGCTAAGGAGTGATATCCACGTTTCTAACAATGTCCTAACATTCCTTTAAACCACTCATGCTCCACATACTTTATCATGGACATTCATGATGCAAGGGTTTTTCGTGTCCAACAGCCCTACAGCCCACATAATGGGATAAGAGTTCAGCCAAGGAAGGTTTCTCTTTTCACATTCAGAAAAGGTTGCAGAGTGCTATTTTGATGAAGGCAAGAATTCTGAAAGGAGGATGTTTTCCTAAACAACAATGGAAAAACATACAAGGTGACAATAGGAATGGAAATTGTTTTGATTTCCAAAAAAGAGTTCAAAATCGGCAGGTCCAGAGTTGCAAGCACGTCATTTTCTTGTACCACAATCTCGTCACACAGGTCTCTGTCAACGAATGTTAGAAAAATTGTTTCCTGCCGCGAAATGGAAAGAAAAAAAAAACCATCGTTTCTCCTGGAAGCTTTCACATAAATAGATCGAGTGAGTCTGGGGTTCCAATGCCAATGCCAAGCTGGGTGGCCAAGCCATCCCACAACGGCAAGAGCGTCAAAACGACAAACACTAGTGCCACAGCATAGACGATTTGCCTCCAAGTGCCAACACCAGTAACGTCGTTGAGGCAGGCCTTCTCGGACGATCTCTGTATCAGAAAACACACAGTAAGAACTCTCTAAGAAACGAAAGAACCGACATACCTGGACGATGATAATGTACAAACCCCACGGCAAAGACAGTGGACCTCCCAACTGCGTGAAAGTTTAGTGAAAAGAAAGTCTTAAACGTTTCTATGATTACCACTCCCAGTCCGAGTAGCACATAAGTGATCAAGCCAGTGATATTCAACACCTTACTCCCGAATGCGGCCTGTATGCACTCACTCAGAGTCATGGTCAAGAGTTCGATTTTGAGTGAATTACAAACCTGGAGTGCTCTTCCTCCGTCGATACATCCCACTGGAAGCAAGTTGAATGCTGTCGTCGTTAGCCCACACCTGGGAGGAAACAAGCACACGGAACTTCTAAGAGCTTTTCAAAGACAATGGTGACATCCTCTTACCAGCCAGCTATTACCAGCGGATGCACTGCAACAGTTCCCGCGTGCAATACACTGCATTGGAAAATTCCACACAGAGCTTCATCAAAACAAACGCACAGATTACGAAGACCAAAAGCTTACTCGTATCCTAGAGCGGCCCTGGCGACGAGTCCCAAGAGAAAAGAGCCTTGGAAGACAACACTGGGAACTTGCACAAGTGTACCTTCAGGCGCTCCTTTTGCCGAGAGCAAAAGGCCGACTCCCACCATTGCAACCGAGAGAAATCCTCCAGCCAATGGGCCTGCCATGGAAACGTCAAATTTTGCTTTCCGGTCTGGGCATATAGATTTGAACTGCATGATGCAGGAAAAGAAAAGGTTACTTCTCCAAGCACTGGATTTTTCAGTTTTTTTTGTGGTGCTAACCTGCGTGATAGCACCGAAGCTGCCAAGAGTAATATTTGGAATGAAGTAAGGAATTCCCAGCTTCACACCTAAAGGTGCTGCAGCTAATCTATGTCCAATCTCCTGAAACAAAAACATTAGAAAGAGCAGATAACTCGGATTCCGAGGAGCTTACATGAAACAGTTGCACGCCAAAAACTCCATATGCGAGCGGAAGAGCTGACTCCACATAAGGCACTAGAAGATCTAAATCCGGTGGCTCCGTGGATTCAGGATTTGTGAAGTACTGGACTATCTCGGGTGGAAGCTTTGAAACCTGCAACTGCAAAAAGAAGAAGAAAAAAAAAAGGTATGAATAACTTCCAGGAGAGATGAAAAGTACCTGTGTGGCAAATCCAAGCTGAAGACAAGCACCAGCCGTGATAAAAAAGAGGACCGCAGCGACGACGTACTGCCAGAGGCCCGTCCGTCCGGCATCCGAGGCCTCCTTCCTAAGCAGTAGAAAACTCACTCGAGGACCTCCCCGAGGATCTGGTTCTTCAGAGTTTGGCTCTTCAACCATGAAGAGATCGTACTTGTTGCCGATCAGCTCACGGACACCCTTTTGGAGCTTCGCAAAGACCTCTTCTCGCTGTCCTCGAAGGTTTCCGAGGAAGAGAATGCCTTCGCCAAGAACTCCGAAAGGCTCCTGGCCCGTCACCCAGAAGGTCGTGTAGCCAAAAACCTTGTCTTTGAGCAGCTTCACGTCTTCTGGATCGACTTTCTCTGGACCGACCAGCTCCATGAATCTGAAGGCATCAAGCTGAACAGTCTTAGGCCCTGCTTGTTGGAAGCCATTTTGTGGCTATGGCATGCACACAAAACAAGAAAATTCATTCAGAAGAAGCTCGCTAGCTGGTGCAAACTGAAAAAGAAAGAAAGAACGCAAAGATCAAAGAAGAAAGAAGAAAAACGAAAGGAGCAAAGAATCTCATCGACAAGAAAATTCTTCTAAGACCAGCCAAGCGAGCTAGCAGGAACTTTCGAAAGAAAAAATGATTGGAAGGCTTACCGGTTGATGTGACGAAGAACTTGGCTTGGTCTCGTCCTCTCCATCTTCAGTAGCAGTGGAAGCCGACGATTTTCCATTCTTTCCATCCTTTTCTCCATCGTCTGGACCACTCTCACACTTGACTACGTGAAAATTCCTCCTCCCGATTCGCAGCCTGCCACATTCTAGCCTAATTCCCCTACACCGCGAAGATTTGGTGATGGAGGACCTGCGTGACCTAATCGAGGCATCCGAGAAGAGGGCAACGCACCCTGTGGGAGCCGTCGTGTTGAGCGTGCCCAGGCGCTCCATCGCCATCGCCATTGCCGCTAATCGATTACCATCGCAGAGAAAACGAGGAGGAAAGAAAACCTTGGCATCTCTCTCTCTTTCTCTTTCCCTCGCGAAGCTCGCATTGACAAAAGATAATGATTTCACGTGGCGCGATCCGGGCCGTCCGCTCTTTGATACCGTTAGCAAAGCGAGGTATATCCTTGCTGCTGTTTAAATCTAGGGTTCTTGGCTGGAGTGAGAGCTAGGGTTTCTTCGATGGCGCTGGAATGGGCGGGATTGATGATTGTCGTGGCCGCGGAGTCGCTACTGCTGCTCTTCTTGACGTTCCCATGGCCGGCGAAATTCCGGAGTAGCATCATCGGCGTCTCGAGCAGCATCCTCCGCCCTCTATTGGCGGTTCTTCCCTTCGCAGGATTCCTCCTCCTCGACGTCTACATGAAGTATGAGAATAGGATCCAGTGCCAGGCGGGGAGCTGCACGGCGATGGATCGCGAGCACTACGCCAAATCGGTGATGAAGAGCCAGCGCAATGGCATACTTGGGGTTTTCGCGATTCTGCTCTATTGGTTCTCGTACCGCGTCACGCACATCCTTGTGGATCTGGAGAAGACCAACAAGCAGATCAGTGTGAAGAGGGATTGATCGATCTATCGATGGATTCTCTTCGCGGTTCTCTTCCTTGTCTCCCACGCTTACACGTCAAAAATAAAAATATTCGCTCGTCTAGTCGGATCTGGGCCGTTGGTTTTTGCCGCGTGGAATTGCCGCCGTTGGATCTGGAAGAGGATAAAGAGGTTTAGGGGAAAACTGTTTCTTAGGGTTCTTGGCGATGGGAAACATGACGACGGAACAATGCGTCGCGTTCTTGCAGAAGAAATCCACCACGAATGGCGATTCGGTGTTCTCGCATCTATCGCAACTCATCCAATTCGTAAGCAAGCAAGCATTCGTTGAAGTTTCAAATGTTATCTATCTTTGCGCAGCTTGTTGCCACAAAGCCGGATAGCGCTGTGGATCTCTTGGAGTTGAGTTTGCTTCTCAAACAGACCAGATTTATTCCAGAGGAAGGCCCCAAAGTTCCACGCTCGTGGAAATTCCACGCAAAGGAGAAGTTCGTCAAGCAGTTCATCAGCCTCCAGAGGTATCCTTCCCGGGGCAACTACAAAACCAAAATCCTTGGTAAAGTTTTTCTTCTTTTTTTTCCCTTGATTCCAAGGAGTGAAACTTCTCTTTTCGATTTTCCAGTCACCCGGATCGAAAGCCTCCCCCCCTGGAATCCGAGGAACAAAATGGTGACGAAGAAGAAACGAAAGAAGAAAATGATCCTGCCTATAGCGCAGAGAATTACCTCTACGACTCGATCTTCTTCGAGGCCGTTGGAATGGGGCTGGGCCGAGCCGAGAACTACCAAGTTGTCTTGGCGATGAGACAGCTCGCGAGCACGAAGATGGTGCTAAAGATGAGGTTCTTCGGCAAGTTCTTCGGGATCAAGAGGTAAGAATTTCCACTCGCTTTTCTATCCAACTGTTGATGCGAAGTTTTTATCTGGCAGCAACTACTACGTGTTTGAGACAACTAGTAAACCCGTACCTCCGGAAGAAGCTGCAAAGCTCCCTTCCTATGGCGTTGAAGCGATTCCAAAAGAAAATGGAATTGGACCGAATGCGCACACGTACTGGGTTTGTAGCCGGCCAGGCGCCGAGTTTTACAGGCTTCCAGACGTGACACCGCTGCAAATCAAGACCGCGAGGCAGATAAAAAAGTTCTTGACTGGAGACTTGAAGGTATATTGTAGAGTTCGCAAATTTGCTTACTTGGATTTCATGAGCTCTTGAGAAAACTCCGCCGTGACGCATCCAGGCTGAAGTTTCGGCGTTTCCAGTGTTCCCTGGACTCGAGGAGAACTATCTGAGAGCACAGATCGCAAGAATATCAGCCACAACAGAACTTGCTATCAAAGGATTTTACAAGGTTGGAGTTTCTTTCTACCTGTTTTACCTCTGATGGTTTGGTCCTCGTTGCGAAGGTTGCTGAGGCTGAAGAGGGAGGAGCCGGCGGTGGGAACCTTGAAAAGAGTGAGGAATACGCCCCGCTAGGATTTGCCGAGCTGAAAACACTGGAAAACTGGGTACACAAGAACCAGTACCTCAACCTGCAAGGCCGGACGACTCTCTACGTTCCCGAGAAAAAGGAGGAAGAGGGCGAAGAAGGTGGCGGCGAGGAGAAAGAAGAGAAGCCTCCCAGTCCCGAGGAGACCGAAGTGATCCCGGAGCGGCTAACTTCGGTGGACACGGACGCCGAGCTGATGGAAGGATGGAAGCAGTGGTCGTTTATAACCAGCTCGACTCACAAGAACCTCAAGCACCAGGTGATCGGGTTGCGGTCTATACTCTGGCCTGGTGCTTTCACAGTGGTGACTCCGACTGGCTTTAGCAACGTCTACATCGGCTGGGGAAGGAAGCTGAGACACTACGTCCCACCATTACCACCACCTGTGATGAAGGAATTCGAAGGGCTCGGACCGGAAAGGCGTGATCTTCCTCCCATTCCTAAGCCGCCAGAGCCTGTGAAGGTAGAAGGCGAGGGTGAAGAGGCGCCGCCAGCAGAGTAGAAACACTCTTTTTTGGATGGACAATTAGATGATTGTCGTGCTAAGTTTCAAAATGCAAGAGAAAAGCATTAGCTATTGCATTTGTAACTTTGTAACTTACTTCCTCTACTCCTACAGAGCTACAAAGGATGAAACCAAAATATAATATGTGTCTATATATATCTTAAACAAGTAAAACCTTGCCCCCACCGGCAACTCTCTCAGATTTCACAATAGCTTTGTGATACTCTTCAAATTCAAACCTACGACAGCCAGGTGTTTCTATAATTCCCTGCTTGAACACCTCTTCTGCCACTTTGTGCTTATCTCCTTGGAAGTTAATCAAAGATTGTGATGAATGTTCCTCCACATGTCATTGAAGGAGATGAGGTCTGTTGATTCCAAGGTACCGATGGTGAAGAGCTTATAGAAGATTTATGTATTATATGGATCATTTTTACATGTTTTTAGCCCAACTGCAACTATTATTGGCTTTTTTCTGATAGCAATCATCACCATATCTTTCTACTAGGGAAAAGTCTAATTCTACAGGGCCCTAGCTTTTGCCATTTTGTTCTGGCCACAATACGTATTTCATATTATAATTTTTTTTCAATATTTCAAAATTCAATAGATAATTTTCACAATTCAAGCTACATAAGAAAGTTACCAACACAATTGAATAACAAATGATTTGAAGTGAAACTCAATATTTATTCTGGATAGCCTGATACATTTGATAAGTTTAAAAACTTTTTTGGGAAACTTTCAATAAAAGTTTATTCAGCAACTTCAGCAAACCTATATTAATCACAAAATTAAATTTATAAAAATCAATATATAATTTAATTTATGTTTTTGTGCATAATAAACTCTAGAAACCACAAATTCATGTTTTTTCTTGCCGGGTTTTCACATGTTAACATTAGATTATATAAGATAAGTCTGTACTTTCAATAAAATAATATAAATATAATTATAAATGTATCTAATATAGTTTTTCTACTCTTGAAAAATCCAAAGAAATAGAAGGATATGAATAAACATAATTTTTCTATTAAAAACAATTGGTAATAATATTATCATGCTAAAATATAGCTAGGCTGTATGCAACACGTGTTTCCAATAAAATAATACAAATATTCTTGCAATTTGACTAAATATCAAGCGACAAAAAGGAAATATATAAACAATACATAAACAATGTCAAAGAAATGGCAAGAGCCGTGACAAATGGGGAGGGAGCTGTTGCAGGAATCGATATGCTAGGAGGATATTCAACGAAATTAGCAGCGGCAAACGTTCAGTCTGGTGGTACCAGCCACTTACCTTTCTTACTAAATTATTAATGTTTGATTGATAATGAAATTTATCATTTAATAACAATGATGGAATTAGGCAATTTGTTTTTGTGATGTATATAATCTTAAACAAGCAAAACCTTGCCTCTATAGGCAACTCTTTCAGATGACTTCAATAGCTTTGTGATTCAAACCTATGGCAATCAAGACTTATGCTTAAACAACTGCATCGCCAATTTGCCAGACAAGTTATATTTATATAAGATTTTCAAGTGCATATTTGTAGATAATTATTTTACACTAACTCAAAAAGCTCTTAAAATCTATCATGTATATCCAAGTTGGATCGAATATATCGATATGTGGTTAATAACTGTATTCTATATGTATAGAAATTAGTGACATGTTTTAATCACAATAACTTAATATATAAGTATATACCTGATCAAGAAAAGATCATTCTAGTGGTTGAATTATCATTAGTGGTTTATTAACATGAGTAAGCCCATGGTACCGACCGCGCCCGGCTGCGCATATTTTCTTCAGCCTGATCCGCAAGGAGGTCTACTTCACCAATGCGGCATCATCGTCGGGGCGAAGGTGGCGAACACTTAAATTTGGAGTTTACGCTTTTTTTCATGTCCCAGCAGTGCCAACTTAGCTACGTCGTTAACCTGCGAAAGAAGAGCACTAGTTTATGGGAAAACAAATCCTGGCGTGTGCACCTGTGATCGACTTTTGCTCGGCTCGTTGGTTCCAGCCAAAGCATCGAGACAAACTGGCAAACCAATCATCTGTTTGATCCCGCTTATTTACCGTCGACATGGGATGCTTGCTCATGCTGATTCGGATGGATTCACCCATTTTGAGGGGATGCTTTCGCTTCCCGTCGAAAGAAACAAATGCCGAGCTCCTCGCGTCTTCTGGAACCTGTGAAAGCAGCAACAGTTAGAACAAGCGTCAATATGATGATGAAAACACAAACTTCATGCAAGAAAGACATGTATCTTTAGGCAACCTACAATGAATAACCTGTTAGTCAGTGAAGTAGAGCCATCTGTTCTTTACGAGCACTCCAGTTAAAGCATCTGTCTAGGCTCCGAAACCAATCGGACGTCTGGTCGGATTTGTTAACTGTAGGCATTGGATTCCTGCCCATATGAATTCGCACCAAATCGCCTTTGGTGAGCTGCTGCCTCTTTTTCCCGTCAAACGAGACCCAAGCATTGCTTCTTGAGTCACTGGGAACCTGCAAAGTAAAAACTGTAATGGTGCCATAGCTCTAGCTAGTCTCAGGGCGTCACGAAACTCAAGCGAGGGTGCATGAACCACGCCAAAAGTCCAGAAGTGAACAGAAAAGTTAGCGTACCTTCAGTTCAAGAATAGCAGAGTCGGGTAGGATCACTGGACGAAACGATAACGAATGAGGACAGATGGGCGTGAACAGCATACAAGGCACATTCGGATGAACCTGAGATCATAGAATAAGCCAGTTAGATAAAGTTTTCAAACCAATCTATTACTAACCATTGATCCTCCAGCAGCAGTGGAGTAAGCTGTGCTACCAGTCGGTGTGGCTACTAACACCCCGTCCGCTTGAACCTGTGAAGAGAGTTGTCACAAAACCTCCATTGTCCACGGAAAAAAAGCTTACCTTTGTGATGAGCCGGTTCCTTTCGTAACATTCGATCTTGCAGAGATAAGGATTCGATCCTCTGTCCACGACAACTTCATTAAGAACTTCAAAGACCTTCCCTGAAACCGGTTGTCCATCTCTGACGATTTCACACCTCAAGCGCATACGCAAAGTAACATACACCCCTTCTATTCTATTTCCGTGTATGACCGCGCGTAAGTCTTGTTTGAAGTCCTCAAACTAAAAGCATGGGCTTGTGTTAGAACCTTTGCAATCAGCAAGAACGAACACTTACGGGATGAGCAGTTAAGAATCCGAGGGAGCCAAGATTGAAAGAAACCACGGGAGGAACAGCACTCCTAAACAAATTGGATGCATGCAAGATGACTCCATCTCCACCGAGGCACACCACAAAATCAACTCTTTCATGGAGCTCGCTGCCAAGTCAAAAACAAAAAGATTTTAGCCAAGAAACAGACTAAAACAGAAAAAACAGACAATAATAAATCGTCTGAGAAGAAATCACCCAATATCGTGATTGTAGAAAGTCTGGATGAATCCGAAACCCGGAAATCTGGCAAATCGATCGTGTACGTCAGGTTCAACCATAACATTCATGCCTTCGTGATTGTACAGAAACGAAGCCACCTGGTCACAGAGAAACCACGAAAACTAAGTCATCGTAACCAGAGACATACCAAGCTCTCACCTGTTTCGCCTCTTCCATGAGCTCCTCTCCCAGCTTCTTTAGCAACAAAACCGTTTTTGGTGCAGTCTTCCACATGAGCATCTGCTGTTGTGTACTGGGATGCGTGAATGCCAGCGTCGACTCCGTCACTCTCTCCCTGGTGCAACTATAACCATCTGTTCTCACGAGATACATCTCGGCCTTCTTCCTCGACTGGAGCCTGACGACACCGGTTTTCGAAGCGCACATATCACCTTGGACAGCGCCGTTATCATCTTCTTCCTTTGCTCGGCCACCAGCTCGTCCATTCGTGCTACCTCCAGATGGTTTGCTAGGCACCTCAACCTTGGCATTGAAGCGTCCATTTTGTGCGTTCTCGTCTGGATCCAAACGAGAGTAGATAGTCCTTCTTTGCCGCCGGGCGGAGCCTGGCAGCGTACGTTTCCTCTTGAAAAATCTTGCCATAGACATGCGAGAGAAGACATCCGGCCCCGGCATTTGAGCCTCGAAGGGACTCGTTGTTCTTAACATGTTGGCTGCAACCTTGGAGCTTTCAGAGGCTTTGTCAGGTGTCTCCTCCAGAAATATGTCTTCGACTGTGCACATCGGCTCGCTACAGTTACGATCCAAGCCTCCACGAAGCACAAACTCCCGCCACCTGGATACCATCGCTGATGCTCTCACCACGCCGGCATAGCTTTGCAGGAAAACCGGCCGATTCGCAGCATCCGAGACGATATCCGCAAACTCGCGCACTTGTTCCATCGTCGGCGCTGTCTGCACTGACACGGGAATTCTTACTCGCCTTATTCTCCCAGACGCTTCGGCTTTCATGAGCGCTGCTTCGGCCAGTTCGTTCTGAGGATCTTCATCTCTCAAATCCACAATCGTCTTAAACTCCCGCTGTAGCAACCACTCCAAGCCTTCCTCATTGATGTTCCCACCCCTCCAAAACTCCACCAAATTCTCGTCACCTTTCTGGAGCTTGACAGTCGCGAAGTTTGGAATGTGTCCATAGCACGGTGCTCCATCGGGACGAGGAAACCCAGCGTCGAGGCAAACGTTGGTCAGCCTGTGTAAGATCCTGTAAACCGCTAGATTCTGGTCTCCTTTCGCCGGTAACAAGGACTGGAGAGAGGTACGTAACGACGAGCAACACCCTCTAAGCTTGGATCGAAACCGAGCGAGGCGAGGAAGCCTTTCTTCCTCCTCGTTCGAGTAGCCACCTAGAATGTCCAGCCTTCCCTGATGGAGAGTAGCTCCAATGCACCCCAGCCCAGCCACCACTTTCTCCTCCAAGGACGAACTAAACACACCTCGAGCACCAACGTTCTCGTCGGCGCTCTCTAACCGACGTAGAGATTCCATCACGGTCCTGTGGAGCTGCTCGGCAAGGCGCTGGATTCGACAGAAGGCTTCTATCTCCGCAAGATCGCCCGATAGTGGCCCGAGGGAGAATTCCTGGACTTCCTCCTCCTCCTGTAAGCTTTATCGTGAATCCGACTCTAGCGCAAGAAGAAATTCATGTACCTCTATCCAAGAAGCCTTGTCCGTCACCGGGATTGCTCTCAATCCGCTCGATTTGGCGCTCCATCGCTGGAAATTCGCGCTCCGCCACTGCTGACGCTTGCGATTCAGCACACACGCCGCGTCCGGCAAGAGATTATTCGCGGTGTAGTAGATTGCCTGCTGCCAGATACTGGCGACGATCATCCTAGCTAATCCGGCACCTCCTACGCTTCAATCGCTCATAATCCAGCCGAGAAGCAGTTGCCGCCACGGTCGATCATCCTCCACCACCAGCATTACCTCCCATAAACCCTAAAGAATCTTTCATAGAATCTTCGCAAGTAAATCAAACTAAAGCCGTTGAAAGAAAGTATACAAGGACAAATAGATAAACGTATTCTAGTCCATCTCCATAGGCTCTCTAGAACGAGACTTCTCACTTCTATCGCGATCTTTGTCTCTCTCTCGCTCGTAGCCTCTATCGCGCTCTCGATCTCTATCACGCTCTCGGTCTCTCTCGCGCTCCCCTCGTTCGTGATGATCTCGGCGGCCTCCTCTTTCTCGGTCCCTCTCTCTTCCACGGCTTCTTTCTCTATCTCCACGGGGCTCCCTATCCCGGTCTCGGTCCCTCTCTCGGTGCCTCTCCCGGTCTCTCGGCCTGTCTCGATCTTTGTGATCTCTATCACGGTCTCTCTCTCGATCGCGATCTCTTTCTCGGTCTCTGCAAAATGAAAAAACTTTTAGACAGCTCAAAACTATACACAAAGGAAACACAAACCTTTCGTCCGGGCTTCTCTCGTCCCTGGGCTTCTCCTCAGTTCTAGCGCCCCCTACTTGTGGTTCTCTGAGGAAAAAAAAAAGGATTTTCAAGAGCACAAACGAAAGAGATAGGAGCATACCGGCCGGAGTACTTTTGATTCACTTCGTCGCCACCGACACGAGTAGACCCCAGACCACCGCCAAGCCTCCGGGGTCTCCAGTTCGGCACCGTCCGACCACGCTCGACATCAACTAAAACTCTCCGGTTATCAATTTTCCGTCCATCGGCTTGTTTGTAAGCAGCTACAAGCAGAACAAACAAATTCATATCAGCAAAGCTTGCAAAAGGAAACCACGTACCTTTCATGTCGCGTGTATGGAAGTACTCGATGAAAGCATACCCGCGAGGCTTATTACTGTCCTTGTCATGGACAAGGCGAACCTGGAGAACGAAAAGAGCATTAAGTAAGACGATTCTCGCGCTCTGAAGAGCACAAACCAAGCGGACTATTAAAATGCACGCTATTCCACACGGCAGACATGAAGGCATTAAGCCTCACTCGCCGTGCCCAGCTTCAAAGACATAAGATACGCGTCGAGAGTAACGAGTTTCAAACTTTGTTGGCTTACCAGTAAAACCCTCTTACCAGGGGCGAAAGCAAACTAGCATGGCTGACTCTAAACTAGGAAAAGGTTTGAGATTGCCTGTCTAGACTCTTGTTCTAGCCAGATAATTTCGGTGTGTTGCTAATCTGCAAACAAACAAACATGCGCTCCAAGTCTTGGATATTTGTCAATCCGATGAAGTAAAAGAAAAAAGAAGAAAAGGGCTTATACCTGATGAACACACTTACTTCTCAGTCTTCAGAAACAAAACTCATGCAGTGGAGTAGAAGAAAGCCATGGAAACATATCTGCAGCTTAGACAAGTATGTGCTTTCGATGCAGCTAAAATGTGATGAGAAAAATAAACGGGAAAATGGTAAGGATAAGAGTGAACTCACAACAGGATATCTTACCACAGTCGAGGAGTTGTAAGCTCCTTGACCACCACAGTTGGATACCTACCCTTTTTATTGGACCATATGCCTCAAACTCCCTTTTAATTTTGTGTTCCGTTGTCTCGTAACTCTATGGAAAGAAAAAAAAAAGAACAAAGGACAAGATGAAGCCTTGCCAGGACATAGAGGAGAAAAGAAACTTACAATCCTCGCGACAAATAGTGTTTTGTATGGATCGCCCTCAATGTTGGAATCGGTTTGAGGGTCATCTGAAAGAAACAAAATGAGCATCGAAAGATGAGAATCCATGACGACTCACATTTTTCCAGATCCTCAGTTGCCTTCTCCGCCCCCTTCTCCAGACGAACGCTATGGATCCTTGCTCGTCTTTGAGACTGAAAATCACAAGTTTAGAAACAAGGAAAAAAGAGACTCCGATTGTCATACCGGAGTTTCAGCTTTCACAATTGGAGGACTGTACTCCGGATCACCCGGCTCCGCAAAGTGTTGGACAAATTGTGAAATACCTGGTAGAGCTTAAGAAACCAGTCCCACGAGCAATCCTTTCTTACCATGATACGGTGGAAGATTCCGCTTCTCCGGCGGCGGCTTGTACTCGAGAGGAGGCCGCGGCTCGAAGAGCTTCAAAAGATTCGCAGTCAATCCGGTGGGATGGCTCTGGCCGATCTGAAAGAAAAGGGCTGAGAAGCCGATCAAAGAGAAGAGGCGAGACGAGACTTACCAGTTTGAGCTGCTGGACAGTGGCCCGGTTCTGCGCAGCCTTGGGGCGCGCGGGCATGCCGGCGACATTGTAGTCGTTCATCGCGAAGACCCTGGGAAGAACACAAAAACCCTAACCTGCGCCGCAGATAATAAACGGATATAAAGGCGGATATTCTGCTTAAGAGCCGCAAGAGAATATTCTGCTCGAGAGGATATTCAGCTTACAATCTAGACGGCAGCCTTTGCGAGGCTACTATCGGCCACTTCGGCTTCGATCTTTGGGAATACTGGCGATGGAGTAGCGACGAGCTGGCCAGCTTTGAGACCACCCCATCTTGTATCGTCCTGGGAGTAAAAGAAGAAAAATCCATAAGTTTTGGAAGCAAAAAATTCTAGTAGCGACATACCCAAGAGATTTGGTTGAAATGCTCGTCTTGATAACCGAGCTGTAGCCACATTCTTTTGCAAAGATCTGGTACCACTGGCGAGAGTGCCACCGAGAGAATTCTCACGGACTCCAAGATCACGGCCAAGTCCTGGGAAAGCTATGTGGTGAGCAACGATGTTTGATAGATGTTTTTAGCACGAACCTTTGCCGCTGCCTCCGCTGCTGGAGTTGCTTTTTGTTTGAAGCCCGTCCATGGAGCGCGCTCTTCCAAGTAAGCGTTTCCCGTGTTCGCTAAGGATAGTAGAGCCTCACAGGCCGACGAGAAATGAAGCTCAGAGTAGCGTCTCTTCGCGCGTGCAACCTGTTGATCAGAAACAAAAATTGCTCATGACTATGCGCAGCAAGAATCTGTAAGCTTACAGCTGCCTCAGCAAATACCCGCACGGGATTTTCTTCCGGGATGGACTCCGAGTCGACTGATATTGTTGACGCACAGTTCTTTTTCAAAAGACCAAGCGTTCTGTTGAGAAGATTTCCTGCACAACGATGGATGTGTGGGTCAGAGAAGACTTTGTGAAAATATATACCGATTGTGTTGGCTAGATGTGCATTCACGATGGTTATAAACCGCTCCTCTGAATAATCGCCGTCTCTGCCAAATTCCATCTCGTTCAGAAAGAAGTATCTCACAGAATCAACTCCAAATCTCGAGACCAGCTCCTGTGGCTCGATTGTGTTGCCTAGAGACTTTCCCATCTTCAAGCCATCCTGGAAAGCACAATAACGAGTCAACAAAAAAAAAAAAAAGAACCCATGGATACCTTTGTGAGAAATCCATGGCCGAACACTGTTTCTGGTATTGCAAACCCCGCTGACCAAAGCATTGCAGGCCAATAAACGGCATGAAAGCGTAATATGTCCTGTCAAAGTTGGAAGAAAAAGAAAAAACTTTAGGAGAAATAAACCGGCTACTCGAACGAACCTTTCCAATGATATGAACTGAAGCTGGCCAGCCAGAAGCGGCTGCATTTTCAGGTGTCACTTCTTTTCCATCGAGTAGAGCTGAAATATACCTGCGCGCACAATCAATGTTCACCATATCTACACGTAGAAAACATGCGAAATACCCGAGTAGTGCATCGAACCACACGTAAATGGTCTGCTTCTTGTCCGTCGGTACAGGGATTCCCCATTCTACGGCTTCCCTGGAGATAGAAAAGTCGTGAAGACCTTCCTTCACCCATCCCAACACCTGTAGAACTAAACAGTGGGGTGTAAGATTTCCAAGAAGCCACTAATTGTTCCTCCAAGTACCTCATTCATCCGAAATGGAGGCCTCACAAAGGCAGGCCTGGTAGACAAGAGCTCCTCCAGTCGTGACTGATACTTCGATAGAGCAAAGAAGTAATTTTTCTCCTTGCGCTCTACGCAAGGCTTTCTGTGGATAGGACAGCAGTGTTCTTCGATCAAATCCTTGGCATCCTGCAATTCCATCGCAGCTGTTCTCAAAGGCAGAATAGCTATCAGAACTTTGTACCTTATACTCCTCGCAATTTACACAGTATAGTCCCTCATAGTTGGCACAGTAGATATCCTCTTTGTCATAAACTCTTTTGTAAAACTGTTCCACCGCGCGCTCGTGGGCTTCGTCTGTGGTACGAATGAACTTGTCGTAAGATATATTGAGCTGAAACGCAGAGAAAAGGAGTTAAGCGAGTCGAAGAAAAGAAAGCTAAATGGATGCAAGGATGCAAGTTAGAAAATTTACATCCTTCCAAAGACTTGCGTACTCGTTAGCAATCAAATCGCAATGTTCCTTTGGTTTCCGGCCTTTCGCAGCGGCAGCAGTGGCAATCTTCTCGCCGTGCTCGTCCGTGCCGGTCACAAACACGACATTCCTTCCTTGGAGCCTCTAAAACCACCCAAAAGTTATACCCAGCCTGGGCATATGCCGCAAAATCCATACCTGGAACCTCGCGAATGCGTCCGCGGCGATGGTGGGATAGGCGCTGCCCATATGTGGCGCCGCATTCACGTAATACAGCGGCGTCGTCACCACAAACGTCCTCCCATCGCGATCGTTCTCCTTCTCTGCTCTTACACTGGTGAATGCGGCGGAATTCCTCCTCGCCGCGGCCGATTTGGCGCTTCTGCTGAAGATCCAACGCGAGCATCGCAAAGAGAAGCAGAGATTGGGGGCGGCAGCGGCGGAAGAGGAATACAAACACTGGACCATTCCGCGCGCCAGGGTTTAGGGCTCATCCCAAAAATCCTGACGAATATGCCAGGAAACCGACGGTCCAAATTCGTTTTGAGCCGACGGTCCAGATCTAAGAATTTTTATGCAAAGTTGCCTTTCTATTCGTCTTCTTTACTCTCTTTGTCAGAGTAAGGAACATCGTCGAGCTCCACCATTCTGGGAGAAGGGGCGGACGATTTCACAAACTCCGAAATGGCGGCTCGATTTTTTAGCTCGAGCTCCCTAGCAATGTGAAGGTCAGACGGCCAAAACTTTTGCATCAGTACCTTTGCACAGAATCGGGGAAGCAACGCGACGACGATTACGAGTAAGATGTTTAGCCAAAACACCGCAGTCGATGCCATATGAAACATAACTCTGCGAGAGAAGAACACCACTAGAGATCAAAACAAGGAAAACTAAAGAGTGAGTGAGTACCTGTAGTGTGCGATGAATCCTTTGTCTGTCAAGGCGTCCAGCACGAAGAAACACGCAAAGGAGACGACGATGGATCCCCAGATCGCCGCGTGAGTGATCCAAGTCCAGTGTAGGACGTCCATAGCGAGGTGTAAGTTGACCAACACCACCACTGCTGCGGCCCATAAGCAGCCCATCCCCCAGATATCGATGGTCGTTCCCTGGAACGTAAAAAACGGTACGTAGAAGAGAACCAAGCTCTGCCACAGCGTGTCCAGCATCGTCGCCCAGAAGAGCACCGAGTTGTAGCTCTCGTTTCTCTGTCCGACACCGTAGAGTGGAGGAAGTCCGAGTAGAGTTTTGTGACTCAAGTCCTTGTCTAGAATCCCGACGACGATCGTTGGCACGGAGGTGTATATCAGCGAGTAGAACATCAAGTTCCAGTCGAAAAGCGCTGTCTGTGCGGAGAAGGCTGTGTGCAAAATGTACCTATAGGCAGATGTCAACGATAAAGGAAGAAAAGTGAGAAGAAAAACGAGAGTGAGCTTACCAGAAGAGCATCATCACGAACACGGCATTCCTGTAAAAGTTGTAGAGCACCATATACGCGAGACGCTGGTAGTTCCAGTGACCGTGGACGAGGAGAAGCCGTTTCAAGAATCGAAACTGGCCCAATGCAAAGTCAGATGCCATGACTGCTTGCCGACCTTCCTGGCCACTCAATCCAATTCCAACATCTGCTGTCTGTATCATGGAGACATCATTGGCTCCTGAGCACAACTTCGGGAAATGAAAACCACTTCTAGGCCACAAAAGTCAAAAAGAAAAAAAATCACTCACCATCTCCAATAGCGAGAGTCATGTCCTTTGTTCTTCGTTTCATCAACGAGACAATCCCGGCTTTTTGCAGCGGCGCGACGCGACAGCAAATAACGATTCTGCATGCTACGGCTAAGTCAAAGAGCTGCGAGAAAACACACCGAGAAAATGTTTAAGGTAAAAGAAACTTAAAAAAGAGAATATCACTTACGAGTTCTTCTACGTCCGGCGAAAGAGCGTGCACGAGACTGTTCCCATCGATAATAAGAGCCAGTTGTTTCTTGCGGGTAGAATCACCTTTAACAGCCTTCAAGTTCTTCTCTCCAATGTGCACGTCCTTGGTCTCAGCAATCCCATGCTCTCTGATAGCGGCTTTGAGTTTCTCGACGCAGAGCTCTTTCGTGTTAGCGTTGACAATTACTTTTTCCATGTCCGGAGTGAGAAGAGCGCAAGAAAAGCCAATAGAAATCGCAGTCTCCTGCTTGTCTCCTGTCAAGACCCAAACTTTGATGCCCGAATTTCGCAGGGACGAGATTGTTTCGGGTACTCCATCTTGCAACCTGTCCTCAATTGCAGTAGCTCCCAGCAAGGCCAGATTTCTTTCTATTAAACTAGCCGCCTCTCGGAGCAACTTCACCCTGTCCACCAGTGCCGTGCTAGCTATCTTGTACTTTTCGTGCCACTCTTCAAACTCGGGCTGCTCCAAATCCTTGAAAGCAACGACCAAAGTGCGCAATCCTTGCGTAGAATAGAAGTCCAAGTGCCTCTGTGTTGCAAACAGCACCCCTGCTTGCAAATGACCGTCTGCAAGGGAACCTGAGCCTGACTCTACTTGCTCGGATGGCCTGGCAATGATATCCATCACTGCTGTGTCCGCTCCTTTCACTAGCAGCTTGTACGTGTTATCGGGGCACTCCACAACGATCGACATGCGCTTGCGTACACTGTCGAACTCGTGAATTCCTACAATTTTGTAGCTGCAGCAAATGGTTCCACGTAACTGAGTGTTAGAGCAAACATTTCAGCACGAAGACTTGTCACCTTTTCTGCTCTCCAAGAACATCCAGTACTATCGTTGAAGTAGTTCGGTCTAAAAGTGTATAGCCGTAAGCAGACGCCGCAAAAACTAAAGCCTGCTCGTCTGGAGATTCAGCCTGATATTGCAGCGGTCCACTGTGGCGAGTCGGAACCACTGTATTGCAGGCCGCAAGCACCAGCATGTAACGGTGAACAAAAGTTGCTTCCGAGGACGTGACCTCCGTTTGAAGAAGTTCTAATAAGTTGGGGTCAAGACGAACGCCAGGCTTGAGATGGCTACCTACAACACAAACATAGAAACGATCATAAACATGAAACAAATACCTTAAACAGAAAAAAGAGTTACCTTCGACTTGCATGCCATCCGAGGAATCAGAAGTACCAGAAATTTTAGCTGCAAGAACGTTGCTATAATCAACCCCTCCAATGCTGGCTGAGTGGAATTCCATCTTATTCTCGGTTAGTGTGCCAGTTTTATCTGAGAATATGTATTTCACCTGTCCCAAGTCTTCGTTGATGTTTAGAGCTCGGCACTGGAGTCTCGAGTTTGACGGCGCGTGAAACATCTCAACGTCTCTCACCATGAAGTAACTCTGGCCGAGACGAACAAGCTCCATGGAGATGTACAAGGAAATCGGGATCATGATCTGGAACATGATGATGAAGCTGAGAAAAGCAAACACCCCCTCTCCTAAAGGTCCATAATACATGAACTTCTTGTCCGCTGTGTCACGCTTCTTGTAGTAAGGAAAGTTGTTTAGATCGCTGTCGTGATCGTGAACCCATTTTCCCATCCCAACACCGCCGGCAATACAGATGATCAGCAAGAAAAACGAGAGCCACAGTGTTTCCTTGTTCATATGCTGCTCCAGCCTGCTTCGTTTGGACTGCGCACCAGAGCTGTTGAGCATTGCCTTCGTCTCCTTTCCCGCATAAACCACAACTCCCACGATCCATGCGGTGTTTTTGAGCACACACCCGCGGAGTATGATGTTGTTTGGCCCGAGCGGAGCTTGAGTGTCATCGATCTCCAAGTACGCCACAAAGTCGTAGATATTCCTGTTTGGAGGCTCGCAGACGACTTTGCCGGTGATGGGAGCCAGGCCCGGATGCTTGCTTGCACTCTCCTGCCGCGCATATCTCGTCTTTAAGTTCGTCTCTCCGTCTAAATTGATGGTCTGGACGTAAGCTACTCCGTTTGCATCGCTCGTTCCCAGTAAAACTATATCACACGGAATGGACTCGTCCTGGAAAATCTTCACTACTTCCCCGGCTTCAATTTTCTTCCACCTCTTTGGCTCAAACCGGCCATTCTGGAACACCCAAGACAGCCTGTTGTTTTCTTCCCTGTCCGACCTGTGACGACCCCAGTCCTCGTAACCGTCCTTGATAGCCGTCACAACCAGCACGAAGAGGAGAGGAAACAGCGAAGCCAACCTCCCAAAAACCGCGAGCTGAGGAATCTGGTTGAGTATCACTATCAGGAGAAAGTAGATGTAGGCAACCCGATGAAACTGCTCAAACAGATTCCTGGGAAGGAACGAGATAAGCGTATATTTGCTGGTGCGGACCTTGTTCCCGGAGAACTCGAAGTTTTCATTAGTCCTGCCAGGATTGTCGACGTATACTACTCTTTCCTTCCTTGCATCAGTGCGAGCTGCTGGAGGAGGACCACCAGCACCCGAGGAAGAAGAAGGATGGCGATCGTGAGCTTGTAGTCCTTTGGAAGAAATCACCGAGAAAAGCCGAGAGCGAGCTGTGGCCGGAGCATTCTCACTCTGCATGGATCCTGGAGCTCCGAAAACTTCGCTCTGGAGAGCGCTTCCAGAAACTAACTCCCTGAAAGATTCGAACGAAGGGTCGGACACGTCTAGATGTGCCGATCCATCCGACCGGCTCCCTGTGCTTGATCGAGAGGGCCCGTGACCAATTCGCTCTCCATTCTCTGTTCGTGGCTGTTCCTCCTGGGACGATAAGAAACTGTTCCTCCCAAAAAACATCTTTCCTGGAAGCCCTTTTGCGGTCTCCCTCGCGGCCAAAAAATTATAAACACGGAGCTGTGGCACCAAGCTCGCAACCTCTTCTGTGCCATCCTCCTCAACTCATCTCCACCTACAGCGACCATCAAATCCCCCAAAACCCCCAGCTCTCTCCCAGAGGAAGGATCGTCTCAGCTCCTAGCTACGAAATCCCTCCTGCTTGATTTCCACACCAATGTAGCTCCGGGGAGAGATCTCTAGCGCTACAGATCCCCCCGCCGGAAATCCGCCGCGACATACCTGGAAGAAAAATGCGCTGCCCAGCGCGATGCCGCGATGGCGCCCCCAGATCGGCGTCCTCCTCGCTCCACGCGCGGCCTAGGGTTTGCAAAGAAGCATCAAATTAGAACTTAACGCCAGTAAAGAAAAAAGGGGGATGACGTTTCGGTAAAGCGGATTTCTGTAAGAAAACGATGGATGGATTCAGACACAATTTTATTTCCACGGATATGGAGATGAAATTCTCCACGATGGCTGCTCTGTTTTTTTCCCGTGACTGGCATCTCATAACAGTTGACAAGCAACCAAAGAACTCCAAGTTTTAATTTTTTTTGGGACTTTTTTTTTCGGCTAAGTTAATTGAAACTAATTGAAGATCGATAGAACATCATCGTCGATCACATAGAAAGAGAACTATTGACTGCGAGGAAGGCACGCTTTTCTTCGCTGACCACAGATTAAAAACGAAGAAAGCCAGATCGCGAGGAACTTTTCCTCCCATTTGCAGTGAAGCTCCCTTACTGGACTGGACTAAAAATCATTTTTTACGATTTTTACGTCAAAGCCTTAACACCAGTGAGAGAGAGTTCTTGTGCATTCAATGCGCTTCACTCTTTTCCTTTTGTCTGCGATCACAGCAAAGCGGTAGAGGTTTGCTAGAGTCTTTGCAAAAAGGTTTGGTCTTCTTACGCGTTCTTTCGGGGGAAATACTGACCCCATCATACGCGCATCACGCTTGAGCAGAGTCCATGGATTCGCCGACGAAGGGGCCTCGATATAAGTAGTTTCAACTTTAGAAATTGGGATTGTGAAGAAGAACAAGCGAAGAACACGAGTGTCGGGAAGCAACGTTGAGCTTTGCCGGGACTACACTCCTAATTGTATGGTTGGATAGCTAGAAATCGATCTAGAGATATGGCAGGCGGTGCTCCAGCGGGAAGAACACTAGAGCAAACTCCGACATGGGCTGTGGCGGTCATTTGCACGATGTTTGTGGTTGTCTCGCTAATTGGCGAGAGAACTCTTCACTACCTTGGCCATGTAAGTCTCTCTCTCTGCTCTTTCAGGATAAGCTCTAGCCCCGATTTATTTACTTTTGTGTTCGTTTCATAGTGGCTGTCAAAGACAAAGAGAAAGCCTCTTTACGAGGCTCTAGAGAAGATGAAAGAAGGTAAAAGAAGGATTTTTCCCTCTGAAGAGACACTAAAAACTTGGATTTGTGCCAGAGCTTATGCTGCTGGGATTCATATCTCTGCTCATCACTGTCACGGCGGAATCGATCAGCAAAGTCTGTGTCAGGACGACCTTCTTCGATGGGCATCTCATGCCTTGCAGCGCAGCAGAAGCTGCAGGAACCACTGAACCCGAGCACTTTCTTATCAACAGGAAATTGTCCGAGTACTTTATGGATCAAGTCGGGTTGCCACGACGATCATTGGCTGGCGCAGGGAACTCCTGCGCAGAGGTACGATCCCAAGAACATTTTTTTCTTGTTGGTTTTTGTGCTTAGTTCTTCCTTGCTACAGGGAAAAGAGCCATTCATCTCTTTTCTTGGCCTCGAGCAGCTGCACCGTTTTCTCTTCGTGATGGGATGCACACACGTCTTCTACTCGTGTCTCACCATGCTTCTCGCAGTTGTCAAGGTTGGTGTTCCAAAACGCTTTGACAGAGAAATTGCATGATCTCATCAGAAACTTCTAAATCTCTTTGAATTCTCGCGAGCAGGTTTATAGCTGGAGGCGCTGGGAAGACGAAGCCCATAGTCATGTCGACAACCAGCAAAACATGGCAGGTAATTCTTGTTTTGACCGACCGAGAGTGATCACAAAGGCTTACAAACTTCTCCTTCTGTTTTTGCCACCCAGAATTTTGCAGGAACTTGACAATGAAAAGGCAATCGACTTTCGTCCAACACCACGCATCAACACCTGGTAGTCGCAATCCCGTCATCATCTGGGTGGTGAGCATATTATATCCTTCGTAGCTAGTTTCCAAAACTTCGTCAGGATCTAAGTTATTCGCGTGACTGCGCAGATTTGTTTCTTCCGCCAGTTCGGGCAGTCTGTTACTCGCCCGGATTACCTCGCGCTGAGGCTGGGATTCGTCACTGTAAGTTGAACGAGCCTAGTAAAACTCTTGGAAGATCTTCAAACTAAATCACACTGACTTGCCTCGCAGAAACACTCCACGGGACCAAAATATGATTTTCACAGCTACATGATTCGATCGATGGAGGACGAGTTCAAGGAAATCGTGGGAATAAGGTAAGCATTTGACACTTTTTGATCGTAAACTGAAGTTGTTTACATGATGAACGATGCAGTCCTTTGTTCTGGGTCTTCGTTGTTCTCTTCATGCTCTTCAACGTCGATGGATCCAACTTATACTTTTGGATGTCGTTTCTTCCGATAGTGGTAAGATCCTCTCCATGGATGGAAGCTCCAGTAAATCTTAAAAGACTGATTTTTTTTTTCCTTGATCCAGATGGTGTTGATTGTCGGAGCTAAACTCCAGCGAATTATCGCCCAGCTCGCTCTCGAAAACTCGGGACTCTCGGGACCTTTGGATGGTGTTCATCTGAGACCGCGCGATTCACTCTTTTGGTTTAGAAGGCCACAGTTGATGATGCATTTGATCCACTTCATCCTCTTCCAAGATGCTTTCGAGCTCGCAACTTTCTTCTGGATCTGGGTAAGTCCTGTTTTTTTCTCAAGACATTGTTCAACGCTCGGGGTGTGAGTGATTCCAGTGGCAATTCGGATGGGATTCATGCTTTATGAGCAAGAAATCATTTGCTTACATTCGTGTCATCACGGGGTAAAGTTTCTAGAGTTGTTTCACGAACTTTGTTTTCATACTCGGTAACTTTGCTAGATTCTTGGTCCAAGTTCTTTGTAGCTACAGCACCTTGCCACTCTACGCTCTTGTCACTCAGGTACTCTCTCTTTACGGAGACGAAGAGAAACAAAACCTCAATCTTTTCTACGGTTTTCCAGATGGGATCTAACTACAAGAAGGCGATCTTCCAAGACAACGTCGTGGAATCCCTCCACCACTGGAAGAAAGTTGCGAAACACCGAGCAAAAGAAGGAAGCTCACACGCGGGATCAAACGACGGTCAGGAGACCTTCCACCACCACCACCGTGAAAGCCCGCCACCGCCGCCAATTGCCGAAATCGAGCTAGAAAACGAGGGTGGCGCCAGGCACGTAAGATCAACAGCCAGATACATGAGAAACATCGAAAAGGTTCCAAACGTTTTCACTCTCCCCAACGACACGCTCTTGAGTCCAAAGCTCCCGGAGTACAGCCCAAGCGTGGAGCAGCGCAATGTAGAGATGATAAAACCCACGTATGGAAGGCACAACCCCGCCGCCGACGCATACGATCCTAACCAGCAAGGAAGATCGATGGAGTGAGTTATGTTTTTTTCTTTTTTTTGACATGTAAAATTATATATATGTCAATTTCGGTAGTATATTTTGTTTTTATATTTTTTTTTAATCACCAAGAAATATTTGTAAAGTAATCAAATATTTATTAATAAAAATGTAAAAAGTCATTTAAAAAATGTAATTTACTTCGTCAAATTTTACCAAATTCCTTTAAAAGTATAACCGTTGGAATTTTAGGGTAACTGTCTTAATGGTGGACGCGCAGCGCTACCAGGAGCTCAAATGCTCCATCCAGGAGCTGAAATCCCAGGTGAGAGCTAAAGCTTCGCCGCGCCTGGCTCTTCCAATGCCGGCGGCCGCGCCTCCCAGCGCCTCGATGCAGCTACTGCAGCTCCAGTTTGATCTTCTCGAGGAGGTGTGAGAGCATTCTCTCCTCTCTGTTGGTGTGTGGCTTGGCGTGATTTCCACTTGCAATGCAGGCGAGGCAGGAGGAGTTTTTGAGGCTCCAGGGCCGGGTGCTGGAGCGATCCAAGCACCTTGAGGTTTTCAGGGCGAAATGCGAGAAGAAGATCAAGAAAGGAGAGGACAACTTTTACCTTCTTAAAGAGAACGTACGAAGGATGGAATGTCAATTCTGCGAGCGTGTATCTGCTGCTGAGCAGGTATTTTCCTTCCGTTCTTCGTGTTCTTCGGCTCTCAATTTGTGTGTCTTAGCTTTCTCGCAGGATTTCTTGGACGAGCAAGAGAAACTAAGAAGTAGATATAAAGATCTCGAGGTGGAGCAGCTCCAGCGTGAGCGTGATCTTATAGCCAGCTACGATTCCACCATTTCTCGCTTGGAACGAAACAACGATGAGGTGAATCAACTTCTCTCTTGCTCACAAAATCTTGGGAATAACTTGTATCTTCTTTTCAGAAAAGCGTGGCCAAGAAAGTTATCGAAGAACAGCTCAAGCGAGTAATGGACGAGAACTCCCAGCTGAGGGAGCGGATCATGCTTTTGGAGCTGGAATCGAGATCGGCCAAGGACGAGTTTCGTCGCATGTACCGCGAACAGGTCTCACTGAAGCTTTTAAAACGTTGATCAGTTTTCTTCATAGCTTTACTCTTCCAGGAGAAGCAATGGAACATCAAAATCCAAAGCGTCACCGAGTCACACGAGTGCGAGCTAGAATCCTTGAGTGAGTTTCTACGATTCAGCAAACCAAGTAGAGAAACTGATGCTTTCACATTTTCCAGAGTCATCCATGGAGAAGGAAGGATCGAAGATCAAAGAAGAGAAGCTCCAGCTAAGTTCCGAGTTCCAGGAGTACAAAGCTCAAAAGGTTCGAGTAGTTCTTCCGGGATATTGATTCGCTGCGTGCTTAGAGTGCTTGCTTGCGATTCCAGGTGAAAGAGATGGATCTTTTGGATCAGCGAATTCGCGCGGCGCTCGAGCACAAAGATGCGAAAATCTTGCACCTCAATCGCGAGCTCCAAATACTCCAGCAACAGTTGAATCAGGCAAACAACCTGTTCGAACAAGAAATTGCATGAAAGCCCCCATGTTTTCATATGTAGCATATTCGCTCGAATCTTTTTCGAGCAAAAGCCCTAAGAAATGGGCTACCTGGATGCCCAAGCCGGCGATGGCGGGCGCACGGCGTTCCGGCGCGCCGAGAAGAAATACAAGCTCTACAAGCAATCCACGACGCACAAGCACAGCAGGTAAGACTAGCGAAGAAAT